GATAAAGTGGCAAAAAAAAAGATGACCAAAGTTTAGCTTTAAAGATGGTGCTCCTTGTTTAAAAAGGGTTAAAGTAATTTGCTTACCGATGGATGAACGAAAGTGACGGATCCAAAAAGCTCGAAGCCCTTAACAATCAAGTTGCTCTGCTTGGATAATGTGGTGAGGTCCATGATACGAAAGATGTGAAAACTAAGGTCAACTTCACTTTCCTTGGTCCCGCCTTCTGGTGTCGAAACAGATGCCACCTCTAGGGGAACAGATGCGTCACTCGCTGCTTCGGTAGACAGGGGTCGAGTCAAAGTTGATGTGTTGACATCACCACTCAGAGGTCTCGACCAAAACCTGAAATCTTGTACACTCAATGGCACAATAACAGGCGATTGGTTGAGAGGGATTGTGTCTTTATGAACAGAAAGTGTTGTCCAATACCTTCCATCGTTTGAACCCTACAAATAAGGGGACAAAACAATCATCTTTTTATCCTAGCCTTCCACAAGAATGGAGCAGTAAACTAAAACACACCTGAAGACACCAATTTCTTATAGGGACACCACTTTGCTCATTTAGGAGAGTGCTCAAACGATAAGCAGTGGGCATCAGCTGAACACCAATTTCAATGGTCAATCTAGCACCGACCTCCTCCCCATTTAGGATACATTTATCAAAGGAATTTAGTTCTTCCTCATCCACAGTTGCATCGTCTAAGGGAGAAGCCTCCGATGCTGTAACACCTTGTTCCAATGCCAGAGATCCGTCGTTAAAAGAGTTTGAGGAAGGTTGAAATATGGATGCCGCAACGAGACCGCATTTGCATGGATTGACCCATGTCTCCACCGTTCCTCCACAAGTGCCCATCCACTCAAGAAGGCCCATTTGCAATTCCACCACACCGGACGCCTTGAGTGTGGAGGTTGTGATCTCAGGAGTCAGGCTGACAGTGTAATGAGGTCTCTTCCAAAATTCCCGCAAGAAACGCATTGATTTACGTGGGCACTGATACCTTTTAAACAATGAACGCAATTGATGAGAAAGCAGTTAAAACAAAGCAAACCGAATTTTGGATCAAAAGGACGCACCACTCCTTCACCAAGGTGACACCTCGAAACCAGAACTCAGTCGAGGAGGGCATAAAGAAGGGGCGACCTCTTGGAAAGCCGTGTGATAAAAAAAGCGGTCGACCCTTTCCACTGCCAACACGAATCTCTCGAGGTGCATTAAGGCGACGTTTGACTGTCATTGTAAATGTGTCCTGAACTTGAGACGTCCCAACAGTTCCAGTACACACCCGTTTATTAAGATCAGGAAACCATGCACCAAGAAGGAGAAGCACTTGACGGTCTACAAGTCCACGGACTCCTCCTCCAGTCAAGTGATTATGGTAGCCGGAGGACGAGGGAAGTGGCGGAGCAATGAGTCCAAGCGGAAGGACTTGTGAATATTCTTCTTCTGTTGACTGATAGCAATCAGCGAAATCGAAGCAACTCGATGAGTTAGGCGGGCAAGAGCGTGGT